AATAATAAAAAGTCCGCTTAGGCAAATCAAAAGTGCCCGTTTCCTGTAGAAACAACGCCACCCTGTCCACGTTTTTAAGTACCATCGCTACTCCATTCGATCTTGGCCCATAGTGAACGTCTTAATGTTTGTAGGCAATGATGCGCACTGGCTGGTTCAACTGAGCGTACACGGAGTAAATGTCCCGTAAAAAAGGAAACTAGATACCTAAGTTAACTAAGTAATTTTTTATGCGTTTTGCGCATTTTTCAAATAACAGCACCCAGTTTTCCTTGGCAAGCAAAGTAGCAGCAAAGTTTCTCAGCAACTATCAATAACAATGTAAACGAAATCAACTTTTCCAGATGCTACGGATCATTCTTCTGCGCTGACGATCAAAAAGCGTCTCGTACGGACTCTCTTGAACATGAATGGGTTGATCTGGTGCAAAACACACGGTATACCGGGTGGGTGGCTTTAGTTTACAAACCAATGGTTCATCGTGAGCAGTACCTTCAGGAGCACTTCAATATCCTTCTTTTCGGACTAGGCAACAGTTTCTTTTACTAGTTGAGACCACGACGGCGTGTCAAATTGTGGGATGTTTACGTCTAATTCACTTATGTTGAGCCTTGTTTTTTTCAGGCAGATGTATTGGGGAGAGCTGCCGCTATCATTTGCCGCCTGCACTAATAACCAGGTACGATAGCTGTTGGAACGTAATTGACCACAACCATTCTAAAGTAGTATGAACCAAAGCCTTAATCGGCAATCCCAATCATGCACCCGCCCCAATAATGATCATATTTAGCGACGGATGACCCCACGTTTGGTTTCAAAGCGTAATCCAATAGATACGGCACCTTGGGCTGCTGGACATTCTAGGCTGCATCCGCCATTTCAGGCCCTTCTTTGACTCATATGGAAGCAGGACGGCGATTTCCATGCTGCATATAATCCTTCAATAGAACATTTTGTGCTGTAACGATTTCATAATGTCATTACGGAATATACGTATTGGAAAGAGATTAACACAAGTGCACTCCAAATCCAAAAGGTGGAGAGGGCGACTGCAGACTTCACATGATCGTGGCGGTCGTGTTTTTGGTGGGATACTGCCGTCTTTAGACAACTGTAGTCCGCCTTTGTCCAGCAAAACAGATGAGAGTTGCTTCAAAATGAAGTTTCCTGCGGAAAACATTCTACGCCACGCGGCCATGCCCTATGCATGTCGGAGATATGAAGTGTTCATAAATCAGGATGATATATGTAGCATCAAAACAATACGGTTCTACGAAACATTGCCACACAGGACTGTTTCCGACTTTCTGAGAGCCTTTCGAGCCGATCCCAACAAGGCTGATACCAACGGTAACACCGTCCTTCATCTCACTGTCATTCACGACCTGCCTGTAAGTTAGTGAGCCTGAAAACCTCTGCAGTGTTTTTTAAACTACTGCAGTTCAGGAGATGTTCACTTTGGCTTACAACAGCGGCGCTTCGCTGAGTATTCGAAACAATCTCAAGTTGACTCCACTCGCACTGGCCGCAAGGCTAGCCAAACAAACGAAGTAAGCTAGCCTCAAAACTTGGCGCGATTGACAGTTATAAGGAGAGGGAAGTCCATGAGCAGAAGTGCAGATGCTCGTTGATCCATCAGCAGAGAAAAGAACAGAACAGCTGGCAAAAACCGGAGTGAGGCTATCCTTTCCGTTTGATTTTGAGCAAGGTCAGGCATAAACGGAAGGTGAGAAGCAATTGAAACACAAACGCGCGTAGAGAGAGACCGACAACCTGTGAGCTACACAGCCGCAGGTTCCAAAATTAGCTCTTACTCTTTCATCTTTTTGTGATCATTGTGGGGTCTCTCTAAAAGCAAATACACGATCACGGCGTTCCATTAACCAGCAGGAAGGAGAGTAGCATCCAATTATCGCGGAGGACTGCGGGTCGTTAACTCTGATATGTACTGGATAGGAAAAGAAGCGCTACAATGGCGTCACGTTGTTCGCAGCAGGACCTAAAGAATTCATTGTGGCAATGCTACAGTATCGTGTGTCCAATCAATTAGGTACGGTCTTGTTCGCTGCGGATACTGAGGCGTGTCTGGTGATATGAGTCTGAAGCAGCCCCAGTCCGCAGTCCCTTGATTTTGTCGCTTACCCTCTTTAACTGTTGGTGGAGAGCGCGCTGCAGCGTCAAACCAAGCCCTTTTAACACGCCTCAGCATTCGCAGCAAACAAGACTGTTGGATATACACTGCTAGACTGCGCGCGCTGCAGCACCGCTCGTAGATCTTACCTCCTCAGCCTTGTAGTGAATTGACTTTTTGAATGCCGGCTAGAGCGGAAATTTCCGAACCTCTTTCGAGTTCCAGATGTTCTCCCTGCTGCTAGAATGCGAAATGGATATCGTGTGGAGGTATGGCAACATTGTATGTAAGGCGGTATCCGCTGGTGGAAATCGACAGCATTCGTGAAGAAGATGGTGGTCTCAACCCGTGCTCAGTGCTCGCAAACGTTGTCTATGGGGTAATTCGGTAATGAGCAAGCGTTTTTCTCGAAACAGGTAATCTACATGTCGTTTACAGGACAAAAGCAGTCATCTCGACTTCTTCGATGGACTGTTGGAGGAACTTCTCGAAAGGAAATGGGAGGCTTTTGCAAAACGAAGGTAAGAGGTTCTCTGCATCAGGGTTCATGACTCAGTGAGACAGTGGCTCACAAGCAAAGTACCGCCAAGCTTTTTCCGTGTTCTTTCCAAAATTGTAGATGGGAGATACATGGCGTTTTATACAGTCCTCATCATTGCGGACCGGTGGGGCGTGTCAGCCAGAAGGAGTGCGCACACTGTTGAAGCCGTTCTCAGCCTTTTTGTTGCAACGCGTATGCGACAAAAAGTGGTAGAAAACGAGTAATACGAAGGGTATTATACAGTAAGTTCTGTAGCTCCTGCTGTGCGTGTGTTCAAAAACTGGTGCACAACGACTTTGCCAAACCGCACCAAATGCAGCCGCACTGCCACGCCCCACCGGTCTGCAATGATGAGGACTGTACATATGATTTCAAAGAATCGCTCCTCTGTCAGTCTCTTTGGAGATTTGTCCATCATTATTAGGCAAAGTGAAAGTGTAGTGACTAGAAGAATGGACTGAAAAAATGAGAGGGACTTCAAACCGCCGCGTAGGTGAACGAACTCTCCATGGACTCCGTAGCAGGAGCCGAAATAAGAGAGTATGAGTCTGCAGTGCTGGGCTTCATTTAGGACCTACTGTTTACAGGTGGAGTTCCTCATGAACAAAGAAAGGCCGGGGCTGCCTGTGGAAACTTAGGCCGGTCTGGACAGGGTCCGGGATTGCTGCAGACTAGAACATCGAACAACGCTTGGCGCTTACACTCAGTGCGGACGGTTGGGCGTGTCAGCCAGTATGAGTGTGTCACCCTCTTTGAGCTGTTCTCTGCCTTCTTGTTGAAACGGGCATGCGACAAAAAGCAGTAGAAAACAAGTAATACGAAAGGTATGATACAGTATTGTCATTTGCTCGCTTGAACAACTCGTGGAGAACGAGTTTGGCACCGCGCCAAACGCAGCCGCACGAACACGCCCAACCGTCCGCAATGAACTACACTATATACTTCTCGCCCGTTACTCAGAGATCTCTGTTCATGGTCAAACTTAAATTCGCCGTCTGTCAAAGTAGATTAGAAATCGTTAATAATATACGTTTACAAGCCTCTAACTCTTTATTACCAGGACAACAGCACTTTTCGAAAACCTCTAGAACGATATTCGAGTCTCCAATGAATTTCAAGTTTTATTTCAGGTTGTTTCAGTCACTCTTTGGTTACTTGTGGTTTCTACTTGTTTTCTACATTGCCTTTATGACTCGTAACGTGACGGAATCGGTTCGTTCTTCACAAGCCAAATGAATATTTTGTTTCTGTTCTTTGTTTTGCCCCTTAACGCGTACAGCTGTAGGTATCTAGGTATTCAGAATTTTTGGCTGTCGAATATGCGGCGGAGCCTTTCCTCTGGGTTGTTCATTTGGGGAGGAACTAATCGTTTGAATGAAAGAAACCTTTTCAAAGCACATTCGCGATCGTAGATCGCGGGTGTGTAGCGACAGAATCGTCCAATGCAGCTGCTAGACGTGGCCTGCGACATCCTTGCGGCGTCTGACTGTTTGTGTAGGGATATCGAAGCGGACGGTAAAGATTGATATCTCCGTATGTATATCAGATCGGAGGTTCTTGTGTTCGGTTTGAGTTAAGTTTTTAGTTTTTCCTTTGTTGTTCCACAGAGTAGGAAAAAGTTCATTGGAGCATCAACTTCATTAGGGTCTTTTCATTTGCTCTGGTGTGTCATCTTTTACTACGGCTCACAGGAAACTTGACCATTCATCTGTTAAATGTTGACGCTGACGACTGCGCGAACCACATAAACATGGGGAGAGTAACAGGCTTCATCTGATCCTTTGCACCTGTTTATTTCCGATTTGGTCTATAGTTCGGCCAAACTTGTGTTAATATCTGGAGAAAAACATCCTTAAATTTTCAATTTATGCTTAAATCAGCGTAAGGCTGCGTTTATACTTTGCGGCAGCGTAGCGTAGCGCTTCCAGCGTACGCCAGCGGCAGTGCCGGGGAGAGGATGCATATCGATCTAGCGTTCCCAGCGTCACCAGCGTAACGCAGCGTTTCTCCAGCGTTTCACCGTTTCCGTTTGCAGCGGCAGGGGAGTAGAGACTATGGGAGAGCTGGAGGGTACAAAAACACATCGATTGCGCGTCTCTCACGGCCACATAGTCTCTACAATACACATCGATTGCGCGTCTCTTACGGCCCCATAGTCTCTACTCCCCTGCCGCTGCAAACGCCCAGCAAAAACGCTGATTGAAACTGCTGGCGTTAACGCTAGCGTACCGCTATCACGCTGGTGACGCTGCGCGAAAACGCTAGATCGATATCCATCCTCTCCCCGGCACTGCCGCTGGCGTACGCTGGAAGCGCTACGCTACGCTGCCGCAAAGTATAAACGCAGCCTAAACGTTGCGGATGTACGCTGTAAAATCAATTGCTTCAATCGGCAAAGCTACGGCTAGCAAATGACGCATCCGCGAGCTGCCTGCGCCATTCTTCCAGCGCGACTCGCCGCCGTGCCAGCGGGCGCCTGCCCCGGCACGATTTCTGTTGCCACGTCTCCCGTAGATCGCATGGCAGCTTGAGGTAAAAAAGTTTATGTGCTACCTGGACTACTAAGAAGGAAGCAAACATAGAAATCGTCTTCAATGAGGTTATTTTTGCATTTTCTCATGAAAATTATAATTTAAATGGTTCAAAGAGGGAGCTGTAACTTACCACCAAGGACGGTCTTTGCCGAATGGGAGGCAAATGTGTCTGCAGCTACAGTAGCGTGCCACTTTCTCCGCTTGATAATGCACGGGAACGGGGATAGAGAGTAGTGACGCTAGGTCTTCGTTCCCGTACTCCACCCGCACTATTTTCGAATTGCATCACTTGCGTCGATACTAGAGTCCCGCAGCGAGCTCCCAGTCCAGGATAGAGGGCAATGCAAAGGTGAGAAGGCACAAGGATGTGTAGCGCGTTTGGCACTATGGTTAGACGCTGACTTTGCGCAACGTGGGTGGAGTATGAAAACGCGCACCTGGGCATCATCACCAGTTCATTTAGGTGGAGAATTTTTAGAAATTACGAACCCCATAGTTCCCTCCTCTGATACGACTCCCATCTTCACCACCCTAGCTCCAGTATCTTCCCATACAGGGCAGAGCATTCGATGGGGATTCTGGTCGAGCTTTTACGACCCGCTCCCTTTTTTCAGGGCTGGTACGACCCCCTCGCCTTCATGCTCCGTACGCATGCGCCTGACGATGGCTGACTGTGGTTGTGGTTTATACTCGGCGAAAAAGTTGTCGAGCGGGGGGGGGGGGGTAGTAGGCATGCGACGTACATCGTACGGGCGTACATAGTACCTATAACACAGAAAATTCATAAAACTCATGAAGTGAACCACGTAACTCCTAGCCAGAAATACGACCCCCCCTCCCAACAACGACCAAATACGACCCCCCCTCCAAAACGTCCGCAAAGCGAGAAAAATCAACTATAAAAATAAATTTTTCCCAGCCCAAATACGACCCCCCTTTTGGCGGCCAAATACGACCCCCCCCCATAGGGAATCGCCCATCGAACGCTGTGCCCTGTTCCCATACTCTTTCAATTCACAACTTCCTACCATTTTTCCGATACGATTTCCCAAGAATTTTCTACTGTTTTTTCCAAGGTTTCACAGTGGAGGAGAGCGATATATAGCACATGTGAAACGCGAAAAACCGCGAAAAGCCGACAATCGAGAAAAACTTTCCTAACGCCACAAATTTTCTTTTCAGAGGAAAAGGCGCCCCCCCCCCCCCTAATAGCTGTCCATGAGCAAGAAAATTCAACTTAGCAGTTTCTTGGACAAGTACGACCCCTCCCTCCCCCAGCAGTCAAACACGATCCCCCTGACCTGCAGTTCCCCACGTGCGGAGTGGGTCTCGACGTTGTCGGCTAATGGCGAACTGCGTTTTAAGTTTCAAGTGGGAAGAACTGTGAAGAGATACCAGATCAGGCGTCCTATGAATGATATTCCATATTGGAATGAGACTAAAAATAGGGCTTTAAGCAATAGCTGGCCCCTAGGAACCGTTGGTGGGAATTAGAATATCTGACGCAGGGTACAGCATGCGGTGTGCAAAACCCATTGGGGGGCGGGTATCTTAAGGGTCACTCAGAGCCGGGCAATGCTTCGACATTTCAGTTGATAGTGGAGTGGAGCTATGGAAGTTGAGATGTTAAAAAATGAAAATTATTATGAGTGTCTTTACAGATTGAAATGCTACGTTTGAACAGCCCTCTTTTCATGCAAAATCCCCAAACTGTAACGGACTTCGTACTTTGGCGCCGGGTAACATGCGGCGAGTAAAAAAGTTAGGCGCTCGCTAGCATCAAACCGTACAAAAGTGTCATTGCTAAGTTTGATGTAAGGAATGGAAAGCTGCAGAAGACCCTAATGTAAATAGGACTACAAAATAATAAAAAAAAATTTAGCAATATATAGCAAGAATATCAAGAATAAATAAATAGAATAAATAAATAAATAAAATAAATAAATAAATAAATAAATAAATAAATAGATATCAGTTAATAGCATGAACTCGTAAGTACGTAGATGACTAAATAATACTCGTCTCAAAAACAGATTCAAACAGATATGCCCTTCCAAACCCTAAACAAACATCTGCTTGCATGGATAAAAGCACCTCAAATTAGAATTTATACCTTTCCATCACCTCTGCGTAGGAGAGTAATGCACGGCGCACGCTCGGACCAAATCGATCAGTGATAGCCGAGCTCCTCTTTCACTCATTTGAAGGGAAATATGTGTTTTGGAGTTTTCGAAGGTGTATCCTCACAATGGCACAGAAGGAGTCGATTTTTCCGGTGGGTCAGAGGGTAGCGCGTCTGTGACTCATCTAAATATCTCCTGAACTAGTGGGTCTTCAGAAAAAAACTGTAAAGCTTATGAAATTGCGTTCGAAATAAGTGGTTCTCGTGTGAAGCATAAAAATCCGCCTGCCATTTACCCCCTATAAAAAACTCATCCGGAATATTTCAC